TAAATACTTCAAAAACAAGCAATCTCTTATTGCATTGGTTATTAATCAAATTATTCATGATTAAACATCTTAATATAGGGAAATTTACGTACATAGCACACAATTTTTATGTATTTACACACCTCACATCTAAACTTTCATATTTACATACATAGCACTTTGGTGCTTTAAAACTATACATGAAAATGTGAATTTCACATTTAAAAAATGATAATAGGGCTATTTTTGATGTGATATTAAGATTTGGGTGATATGTAAATACATAAGCATTACGTGCTACATATGTAAATGCTCTATGATAATTTTATTTGACAGAATACATATGATTTAATTGCTATATGTGTAAATATGAAAGTTTAAGTGTGAGACATGTAAATACATAAGATTTGTGTGCTACGTATGTAAATGCCCTATAATAAATTTATTTGACAAAATACATATGACGGACAATCATGAGTAACATCAAAGAGTTCTACAGATGAGAATAAAGTCAGAATATAACTTCAAATTCTAGGTATCTGGACTGTCTGAAGCATATTTATGCGCTTTCCATAACTATAATGCAGATATCGCAACATAACATGAAGGCATCAATATAGTAATCTTTTTTTTATTTTTCCTATTCTTCGCAATTGCAAAACAATGATAATCATTACATTTCAAAAAGTGAGAGTCCTTACAACATATAAATTCTAACATCTATCAACCTTTCCAATGACAAAACAACAGATGAAAATTTGATAATATTACTTTAAACAGCATAACAATAAAAATTACTTGTATAGTCAGATGTATTTTGGTTATAACATCCTTTTTAAGAAGAAATACATGCATACCACTCAATTTCTATGTATTTACATATCTAACATCTAAACTTCAATTTTTACACACACCACTTTACACATGGATGAAATGTAGTATTTGACTCAAATGGTGGTATTTTTTTATGTGATATGAAAGATTTGGGTGGTATAAATATAAAAGAGAAGTTTTAGTACACATGAAATGGGAGGTATGTCTGTAAATGCCCATTGATTTTTCATTTATTTACATTCTAAAAACCCTTTCTTTGTCTCCACCAAAAAGACAAAAAGCAATTGTAAGCAAAATACAAAATATCAATTGTCAATAATATTGTAACACCAAGCACCACCAAAAAAGAGAACAAAATGACAAACCTGTAAACTCTGCACCTCAGACTTGAACTTGGAGAGATTAGCATCTTGCGCCATCTCACTCTGCAAAACAAAACATCAATCACCACATATCTTCCTTCCACTCGAAGAACTAACAAATATATATATATATATATATACAAACCACGCACCAGCTGCATGCGCCCATTAGACACGAATGATTGCGACACATTCTCCAAACTATCATTCAGAACTTCTGTAATGGCGGAAGTAATCGCCTCGGCCTGCTTTGAGGGCACACCCTGCCCTTCCAATCTCCTCACCTGCCAACGAATCAAACAACTTCATAAGAACTCTTGTCATTGGCATTACATCAAACACCTTACCTTCACACAAACTCGATAGAGAGAGAGAGAGAGAGATAAGCAGAAACCTACCAGTCCCAGGGTATCCACCAGAAATGCCCTCTTCCCATTTCCATTCGACTTGGCTAGTTCTGAGAGCTCGCGGATTTGATTACTTGAAGATGTCAACGCCATCCATACTCTCCGGCGAGCAATCGCCGCCGCCGCCATCCGAATCTCTGTAACAGCGCAGTCGAAAATAGAAGAAGCGAACGAAGTTAATACATCACTCCGATTGCTTTCTTGATTCCCAGATCGAATCCGACAATCCCAACCCTCTCTCCCTCTCTCCCCCCCTCTCTCTACTTAGGTTTACTGCTCTGATTCTCTCAACTTTGTCGGATCGAGAGGAAGAGATCAGAGGGGAAGCATTTTTTTACATATATACCACTTTAATTCCTGTGTATTTACATACTGACTTTTTTTTTATACATATACCCACTTACCTATGGATGAAGTTACGACTGTCAAAACGGCTCGTTATCCAGGAAAAGCTCGTGTTCGGTACGTTAATCTATTAAATTATATTTAAATAATCTTTCAATATAAACAATAAGATTTAAAACTTGCACTAATTATTAATATTTTATGACTAAATATATAGCGTTATCAAAATGACTCTTTGTTCGCGAACAACTCTTGTTCGGCTCGCTAAACAAATGAGTCGAACACGAACACACTTTTTGTGTTCGAAATATAAACGAGCCGAACATGAACTGAGCTTGGGCTTGCCCGTTTTCGCTCTGTTTGCGTTCGGGCCCGTTTACACCCCTAAATGAAGTGATATTTTGATTCCATAAGAAAATTTTGGGCATTAGAGATGTAAGAAAATAAAATTTATGCGTTAAATATGCAAATAACTAAAGAAATGTGAGATATGCATGTAACGACCTCAAATTTAATATTCAGGGTTTTTTTTTTAATCATGATATAAGATGTTTAGAAATGGAACTCACTATTTTTTTTAATGAAATAATTGAGCCCAAAAAATGATATTATGTTCGAGTCCCAACCTTTAATCATTTTATCACGAGTAAATAACCAGAAATCATGCATTTAATTTTTTATTTTTCTTCCAAAATTTACTTCATAAGCGATATATATATATATATATATATATATATATATATTATTCCACACATCGTGACTCTTTAGTTGGTAGCAGCATTGTCAGTCGTGAGTCCTCTTGAGTCACAGGTTTGACATCTGTCTTGCAGTAATAGATCGAGTGGTTAGACACATGAGATTGGTTGGGAGCTCGTATATTAACCTGCAACAAATCCTTTCTAATATAGGCGCATTCTGTGGCCGGTTGATAGAGCTGCCTCTTTAAGGTCGTAAGTCCTCTCACGCCTCGGGTTCGAATCTCCTGACAGTGCAGTGATATATATATATATATATAGACCACACACACACACAGAGAGAGGCATTCCAAGGCCTGTTGGTAGAGCAGCCTGTTTAAGGTTGTAAGTCCCCTCACGCCTCGGGTTCAAATCCCCTGACAGTGCACTGTATCCTTAAGGCAAGTGATACTCGAATTTATTTGCATACTCCCGTTAGGCCTCGGGTTCAAATCCCCTGCCAGACCTGACGGGAGTCAGTGCATATATATATAGCCCCTTAATAATTATTTGTTTGCTTAGAATAAAGACAATGAAATTTAAAGTAACAGAAAAAATATTAAATTAAAATTCCTCATCTAATATAACAAATGCTAGAAAAAAAATTATTAGCGTGAAGAGAACCTGTGAATAATTAGCAAAAGGAGCATTTACATACAGACCCACCCATTTCCTATGTATTTACATGTCTAACACCTAAACTTCTTACATTTATACCTCCCAAATCTTTCGTACCAGATAAAAAAATACCACTGTTCTAACTTTTACGAAGTAAAATACAACTTTTCTTACATGGGTGGTAAGGTGGCATATATGCAAAATTTGGAAGCTTAGGTTGTTAGATATGTAAATACATAGGATTTGAGTGGGTATGTATGTAAATCTTGGTACATAACTACTGATACACAAGTTAGAAGCAAGGACACAAGAAATTCATTAAAACTATCACCACCTAAAATGGCATACTCACCCTTCAAAAAATACAAAAAATTAGCATACTTAGGCTTTGCAGCAAGCAGCTTCTATAATAAATAATTAAAGGAAATAATAATTTCTGTAATTAAAAAAAAAAAAAAAAAACTCATAAAATCTATAATTGAGATAACAAATTACATAAACTTACTGCCTCGACTTACCTACCAAAAATTCCATGCTTGACCCTACTTAGACATTTGAGATGTTAATCATTATGTTACATAAATGAATAGATATATGCTTTATAAAAGCAAGTAAAATACAATTGTCATATAGGATGATTTGTAGCTTGATCAGACGTCTAGCCAAGGAAACCAGTTTTCAGATTGAGGAGTAAGCCAGTGCAAGCTAAACTGACAAGCATCCGTTTGTCACAAACAAAATTAATGCGTTGCTGTTCGTCATGTGCCTAGTAGACGAGTAGTTATTCGCCAGTTGAATTGATGAGGATATCGTTAGGGAGAAAATGAAAATTTTATTGAGTTGACTAGGTCCGGTCTTCCGGTCATCACTTAAGCTAGGCTGAATTGACCTATAAACTGTACCGAGTTAAACTCAGTCTTTCATATATTCGACAAGAATGTTGTCCTGAAATCTTCTATCTAGGTATTTGGCTATACATTAAAAAATTATCTAAACTCAAATATACGTATAACCAAAATCTAACCCTCTTCGCATCATTCGACATCAATTTGACAAAAAAAAAAAAAATCAATTGTTTATGGTACAGTCAACAGAGACAAAATATTTTGAATATAAATTCTAAGATTACTGAAAAAAAAAATCACAAATTAATCAGTAAAACAATTTTTGGAGTATTGTAGATGTTTTTTAGCTAAAAAAACAAACTTTCTTGCCTGAAAATTATCGCATTGGATTCAGATGCACGCTTCCAGTCAACATATATTGACAACGTTAATAGATAGTCATTATTTAGTGCATTTGTCAAAAGCAAATCCTAGACTGATAGTTCTTCGAATTGTGCGATGTGTAAGAGTTTCATAAAAAATTCCTGAAAACGAGTTGCAACTGCAATCCTACAAGTAAAAATAGAAATGACATAACTAATAGTTAATACTTCTAAATGTTAATAACAAAAAAAAAAAAACAAAAATACCAAATTTAATCATAAACAAAAGGCACTAAACCTCATTACCTCACTGTGAGTATTAATAGAGTTCTTAAGATTACATTAATATTCCATATTATGAATAAACAAATTGTCAAGAACCTCAAATGGATTTAAAACACAAGATGATAGAGGGAAATTAATAATTAATGAACACTAAGCACAAAAACAAGCATGCACAAAACATAGGTAGAATGAGTTTAGAGAATATTGGTGAGTCCAATGAAAACTTTCTATCACCTTTACCAGAAGAAAGGGATTCAAAAATCCTCCCCAGGTTGAAGTTATCTAGAATTTTTCCATCTTCAAGAATGCTGGGGTAGTTTGTCTCCTTGTGATTGGTTCCCATTGACCCATTTGGGGATACATCATGTCGGCCAGACATAGTTTCCCATGGTTGGTCTTGCAAGTAAGAAGAATAACAGCTTCTCATTTCCTCAAGAATAGCTTTATGTTCAACATGAATAATGGAGTCCAGGCACCTGCAAATTCCATAATGTATTTCAAAAAGCTCACACTATTTTATTTTACTTAAACATGATGACAGCAATATTGCTACAAAATGATGAAAAGATAAAAAGATCAATAGGATGCAAATTGGTAGTCTGCACCACCTATAAGATTAGCGTTCGTAGTAGGGAACAAAAATCTTGATGAGGCTTATATTCAAATGGATCATTAGCTTTAAACAAAGTTCGTAAGCTCTCAACTATTAAATTTTACAACTGCGCTGATACGAATTACAAATTTAAAATGAATATGATACTTAGATGTAATAGATTCAAGTATCTTGGATCAATTATATAAAAGAATATGGATGCATGGAAGATGATGATATAGCTTCGAAAGTTAAAATTTAACGATTAAAATGGAATAGGGATAAATAAATTTTATGTAATAAGAGAACATCATAAAGACTTACAGATAAGTTTATAAAATTGTTGCTTGTAAAATAAATAAAAGGAAGAGAAATAAAATAAAATAAAGTAAATAAACTATTAATTTATTTTTCTTTCCCGTCAAAGAGAGCAACATAGAGTAAATAACTGCTCCTGCCCTTTATTCCTCAATTACAAGCAAGAACTGAAGCTTCTATCGAAGTCTATTTGCATACCCCTCCTTGTCAGTTCCTGTTTGTTTCTCCCCTCTCTTCTTCTTTGGTCGCAACAAGCATTTTCCACTGTTATTCGTTCACCACGACTAATCTTGGTTTCCTCCCCCTACTCGAACTCCACACCAGTTACATTGAAGACTTGTTGCGTCCTTTAAAATCGCAGATAAAGTTTATACTTTTTGCTCCCGATGATAGTGTCTCACGACACTGACCAGCTCATCTCTTAAGATAGGGAAGGTTGGCATCCTTCGGTGCCCCTAAATGGGGTTGACGCCACGAGGCTGCCGAGATTTTTCAGTAGTTTGGACTTGTAATCAACTCAGAATATTTTCGAACCTATAATATAAAATAAAATATGACTCATTTTGAATTTTAAAATAATTTGAAAAACCATAATTTTAAAATATAGGGGAGTTGTGCATTTGAACATTTAGATTCTTAGGGTTTTAATATTTTAAAGTTTTTGGGCTATTAAAATAGAAAATTTCAAAGCTTATAATATTAAGATTTGACTTTAAAATTTCAGCTCTTAAATCTAAAAATATTTTGAATTTGAGCAAGTCGGGCTTAGGTTCCTAGGGGCAAAGCATAATTCAAATATTGAGTTTTCTTTAAACTTGAAATTTACCGTCACCGGATTCACAACGTGTCTGCTAACAAACAGAAGGTAGTAAAATGCTAAAAATGAAAGCTTATGTGCAAGCTATTTGATTTAACTCATGTTTTAAAATCATATAAATTGTCTTAACACATCAAATGCTCTAGTTAAAATAGCTCAAACATATGCAAGTTAAACACCCGCATGTGCTCCACCAATGCGTTGAATACTCAACTAATGGGTTTGAGAATAGTGAGCGGGTTAATCAGGTCACATTGTCTATAGGACAGGTTTTTATGTCCCACCCACTAGCCTAATGTAAGTAAGGCTTAAGGAGATTAATTAGGTCTAATTGAGGTTAGACCTAATTGGGATTTAGGTTTACTTAAACCTAATGTAAGTATGGTTTAAGGAGATTAGTTAGGTCTAATTAGGGTTAGACCTAATTATAGTTTATGTTTGACTAAGCCTAATGTAAGTAAGGCTTAATGGGTTTAATTAGGTCTAATTAGGGTTAGACCTAATTATAGTTTATGTTTGACTAAGCCTAATGTAAGTAAGGCTTAATTGAATTAATTATATGGTTAAGCTTAATTAAAACTTAAAGGTTTAAGTTGTATTTAAACCTAACTTAATTAAGGCTTAGGGGTTTATCTTAGGTTTAAAGTGAATTAAACCTAGATAGTAGGATTTGAATAATCCTAATAATCCTTTTAAAGTAAAGGATGTAATTTTTAGGGTTTAAAGTGTAATTTTTTAACTTTACAATTTTTACCCTAAAGATCTAAGTTGTCATTTCAAATTTTCTAGAAGTTAGAAATTGTCATTTTGGGGTTATCTAAATTCATCACCCTAAAGTTTCTAACCATTTTCAAATTTAACTTCTAATTTTCTAATTATTATAATTATTTTTGAAAATAATCACTAAATATGGTTAAAAATTGGATATTTCATTTTAAATATTTTTCCTAGTCTTGTAAAAATCACAGAATATCCCCAAGAATGGGAGGATCAATCCATGAAAATTTCTTTATTTTTGGGTTTAAAAATAATTTTTAATAATTAAATTACTTCAGAAAGTAATTAATTTATTAAAAATTAAATATAATTCATTAATTTTTATTTTTGTTTTTATAATTTTCTTCTGTCTTTGCTAAGTTCCATTGTATTTTTATTTTATTTTTAGGATTTTTATATGTTAAGTTATGATTTTTAACGTTTAATAGGATTTTCTGGATTTAATTAAATCCTACTTTAAGTATTTTCCACCTGGCGCTGACTCGAACCTCGGACTCCTCGAAGCTCCGTGCGACAGCGTCTTATTTGCTAGGTTTTCCACGCAAGTGTCTGCGGTGTCATCGATCTTTGTTCTCCCCTCCGCAAAGTGTCGTCCGTGTTAATCCTAACCATCCATTTCCAATACACGAAAATGGACAGTATCCAACCATCTTCCCCAAGCTGTGTTAATCCGTAAACCGCTCATGTTTAAGCCTTAAGATTTGCTCAAATCTTAATGAATTTTCACGAAATTTGTTCATCTCAAGGAGATGAATACATCTATACGGTTATGTGGGCAATTTGTAATAGTCTTATTGACAAATGTCCAAACCCGAGCTCATTTCTAGGGTTGAGGGGAGATGTCTGGTTTCAAGAGGTGAAACCTCAATTGAACTTGACAGAAAGGATCGATTGGTCCCTGTGAAGCTTCTCCTCAATTCAATTTGAAATGAAATTGGGTTAGGCTATGTTCTTGATGAATTGGGGTCACGGTCTCAGCTTAGAATAGGTTGGAGCTTGCGGGAAGATCCAATTTTGATTGGGAACTTCCTCGTGAGGCCCAGTGATGGTGTTCAGATGGTTTAATTGAGGTTTTGAGGAGTTTTGTGCTAACCCGAAAAGTTGTCCTGTTTTTTGGGGGGGAAACTGAAACAACACTGTGAGTTTCGAAAGGCTGAAACTATGAGGGAGCTTAGGGTATGGGGAACACTTTTGGTGTTGAGTGTTTCAGGGTTTGAGGTCTGTATGCTTGGTTCTCTCTTTATGGGGAGCTCTCAGGTTATCCTATTTATAGCCATGGAGAAGTCATGGCTAAGCTCGAATTCAATTGAAGGAAGGAGACAGCTCAGGGACGATCAAAGAGGATAAGGGAGATGAAATTTGGCTGTAGATATCCCTCTTCTCCCATTTCCATGGTTCCTTCATCATGAGTTTGAAAATGATGAACATGAATTGCTATGGTATGTCTCCTCCATTGGAGAGATTATGAGGTGGATAGGGACTTGAGGATGAGCTGGATTAACTCCCTCCACCTAGGCTTATAAGTCATGCAATAGATTTGGAATGGCATGACACCTAGTCCTCCCCTCATGATGACCTTTGATTTAGGTCAAAATAGTGGCTTGTAGGTTTTAAGTGGCTTACCCATGTCATGATGGGGAATAATGGGTAATAATGGGTCATGGGTAACCCAATATCAATAAGCCATAGGTTGGATTTAGGGTTTAGCTGTGAAGCATGGATTTGGGGTTGCCATGGGCTTAGGTTTCCATGGACTTAGGTCATGATTTTAGACTTAAATCCTAGGTCTAATAAGTCTTAATTTCACCATCTTTAATTAATTAAGAGATATAAAAAATTTGATTGAAAGATCATGTTTTCACCAAAAAATGGTGTAGAGTTGACCAATTGACCAGGGTTGACCAATTAGGTCTCCTGGTTGACCATGATGACTCATTTGACCATGTGATGATTGAATTAGTCATGGGGTCATTGGATTTGATGATATGTCTTGGTTTGACCATGCTGACCAAAAGATGGACCATTGTGGTCAAGTTGACCATATGGTACTAGGGTCAACTATAAGTTCAATATGGTGACCATAGGACTCCGGGTTGACCAATTGGTCAATGTGGTGACCATAGGGTCAAATCAGGTTTGTCTAAGGTGCCATTCAAATTTTAGGTCAAAATAGGGCACATTATGGTTTGATCCAATTTTCTGGGTTGGGGATCCCTGACGTGTTTTAAGAAGTCAATGATAGTTTACTTCTTTCCTCAAATTGATCGTGGATGTCATCCAAAATGGACCCTCACAAAAGTGAGGTCAACAATAGCTTCAAGAAGCAGTTTCATTCTCATTGAAGTTTGTTGTATGGACGTAACTTCTATCTTGATCATAACATATCTCAAATGACTGCAATCGAAAAAAATATAAATTAGTGAATTCTCTTTTAAATGACATTGATTATGTTACAAGAATCATTCATTTGAGTTTTTAATAATTTACATAAAACAATAATAACGTACAGGAATCACTCATCAATAGCCACTTATAAATTTCTTTTTAAATAAAAATAATTGAAAGAAGAAATTTAAAAAATAAAGTATCTTTATATTTATGAAACTGCATAAAAATATTTCAATTTATTTTGACTAGTGGATAAATTACAATTAATCATTGAAGTTTATGAAAGTAAAATAACATATTCAAGAAAGCTTTTGGTCTTGAGATTTCTATCTCATCAAACATTGACATTTTTATATGAAGATTTTCATGGAAATAACAAAAGAATTCATCAACTTTCATGGATAAATAAGAGTTTAATGATGATTAGCTCAATCATATAAATTCATTAAAGACAAAATTGTCAAAATTTCAACATCAAGATATCCAAAAAAAAATTATAATTATTGTAAAGATAAGTAGCAACAAATGACAGTGGCATTTTGTGGGAGAAATATACTTAAAAAATAAAGAAATAAGAAAAATACATAAATACTTAAAAAAAAAAGGTATTATGTAAGTGATTTTAATTTTTTGGGGAGTTATTCTTAACATCTCTTTATCTTCACATTGAAAATGTGATAGTAAATTGGGCTAATGATCATTCATGGATGAAAAAAAAATTGCTCTACTCTTGCAATATGGTTTGGTTATATTAGTTGAAACCTCTAAAACAAGCTAAGGGGATACACACTGCCTAATTTGGATAGGAACAAGCCTTTATATAGATGAGTACTAGATCTTATAAATGGAGAATTATGCATAATCTATTGGTGAGCGGTGAATCTCTTGTAAGAGTAAGAACTGGAGCCTGACAAGAGAGATTTAAGAGATGTAAATGTTCTCCTTACCCATGGGGTTAGTTATACTTGAAAATAATGATAAATATCTATAAAATTTGCTTAATGTTTAAATAATTTGCACTTTTTTTAATTTTTTTAATAGTTTTCTTTCCATGGAAAGAATTTAGTTAATTTTTTAAAATATTCTTATGCTTAAAAAATGGAAAAAAAAATCATGTGTTGTTCCGATTGTATGTGCACTTGCGCGTTGTCATAGCCATCGAAAATGAGTTGATTAGCTACTGCAACCCACTACGGGTTTGATTTTGAGCCCAGACATATCTATCCAAATATTTTTTTGGTTCTTAAAATCATTTTTGATGTTATGAACTTAACTTTGAAAATCTTGGAGCTCAATATAGTTTCAACAACTAGTCTCAAGCATTTTTGAAGAGTTTAGAGCAAAAAATTTTTGACAAATTTTGCTTCGATTGATGTGGAAATGCGATATTACAGTTGAGGAGAATTTATTTGATTCACTGACTCAAAGGTGAGGTTCATATTGACATGCCACGTCATAATTATTTTAATTTCTAGTTTGCATCATATTTTTTTTCAAGGATATAAATAATATAGTATTTGTTTAAGACAGTATAGATGTTACCATCCAAAAAAACGAGAACAAATTATATCTCATGAATAAATTCTTTCACTCAAGTACAAAACTTAGTGTAATTTTTAAGTTGGAGATATCTAAAATTGAAACTTTAACCATCTTAATTCTAATTTCAACAAATTTATAAATAAATAAATTTTAATCTAAATAAGCACAAATTAAGTAGATTTTAGTTTAAATAAGCCCAAATTAAGTAATTAAAGTGTTATTGAAAAGTTTACAAGCTTTATTTAAAATAGGGAAATTAGTATGGAGAATTTGGGTGAGGATGAGTTAATAATAAAGGAAAATTCATCTTGAAAGAATTTTGATCAGATATGCCGACTCAATTTGAGTTGAGGAGTAAATCCCCAGATCCAAACAAATATATTTATATATTCAGACTTTCAGAAGAGGAAATCATCAATATTTTTAAGTCTAATGCTATATAAGACTCCTCTATCCAATCCGAAATCATAAATCATATTTTAACTACAATTGAAATTAAAAATTAACGACAAAACAATGATTTTATAAGTTAATTACAAACACAACTCTTAAATAAAATGAATACTGACATGGGGAACGTATGCAATCTTGTGCCCTCAATATTTGTTAATAACGCTTCATCAACTCTGGATCACAATTTGTTACTTTTATTGAACACGAGGAAGGGAGGTCTGGCAATGATTTGAGGAGTGGAATGCTATCTAATTCTAGATGCTTGAGGGATGAGATGGCCGACAAAGAAGATGGCAGGCACTCTAGGTTATCAAGACTCTTTATAGACAGACGAGGCAAAGAGGGAGGGAGTTCTGGCAATGATTTGAGGAGTGGAATGCTTTCTAATTCTAGAAGCATGAGGGATGAGATGGCCGACAAGGAAGATGGCAGGCACTCTAGCTTATCAAGACTCTTTATATATAGTTCACACAAAGAGGGAGGGGGTTCTGGCAATGATTTGAGGAGTGGAATGCTATCTAAATTTAGAAGCTGGAGGGATGAGATGGCCGACAAAGAAGATGGCAGGCACTCTAGTTTATCAAGACTCGTTATAAACATACAAGACAAAGAGGGAGGGAGATCTGGCAATGATTTGAGGAGTGGAATGATTTCTAAATGAAGCTCCATGAGGGATGAGATGGCCGACAAAGAAGATGGAAGGCACTCTAGGTTATCAAGACTACATATAGCCAGACTAGACAAACAGGGAGGGAGTTCTGGCAATGATTTGACGAGTGGAATGTAAGCTAAATCTACAAACTTGAGGGATGATATGGCCGACAAAGAAGATGGCAGGCACTCTAGCTTAAGACTCTCTATATACAGACGAAACAAAGAGGGAGGGAGTTCTGGCAATGATTTGAGGAGTGGAATGCTTTCTAATTCTAGATGCTTGAGGGATGAGATGGCCGGCAAAGAAGATGGCAGGCACTGCAATGATTCCAGGTGGTTAAGAAATAATTGTTTCAGAGAGCCAGGGATGTGTAGAAGCTGCTGGAGCTGAGGAACTTTTATGCTTCCAAATTTCTCGTCAACAGTATTGCCCCAATTCAAGAATAAATCTGTTAGTTTTCTCTTCTCAAATAATTTTGCATTGCAAGCCTCTATTGCATCCTTCACGTTTTCTAGAAAATGAATTTTTAATTTGCGCAACTCCCTCATCTGTTCCAACTCCCCAATTCTATAACCATTCTCATTCTTAACATTAAACTCATTTAGTTCTTGAAGTGATCTTAATTTCCCAATTCCAGGTACACTAGAAAATACTTTATGGTGCAATTCCAAGCGACGCAGGTTAGAAAGATTACTCACATCGTATGGTAAGAGAACTTCAGAGGGGACTCCACGATTTCTACAGATTATGAACTGCAAATGATAAAGACTGCTTAGAGATCTTGGCATCTGAGTGAGATATCCATCATGATTCAAATATCGAAGATGTCTCAAATTTTTAATAGCCTCAGAAATTTTTTTCGTCCTTCGAGAGCATATGAACAACAAACGAATCCTTCTCGATGCTCCAAAAATCTCAATAAGTATTTCAGTTAAATCTTGATAATCAACTGTCAAAAAAAGAGAATGTAGATTTTTAACATCTATGATCATTCTCAACACTTCTGGATTTTCGGTTTTAACAAATAAGTGTCGAACATTTTTAGGAAGTTTAAAAGACAGAACATCATCTCCCACAAATCCGAAACATTCCT